TGCTCTTCCGTGTAGCAAATCCCTTTCTCTTTATATGATGAAGGTAAAGGCTGTTTGCTTATTTATTTATTTGTCTGCTTGTTTCTTAGCCTTATGGAAGTAAACTGCATCAACATGATCTCTCCAGGATATAAACTGATTTGGAGCTAACATTCAGGACCACCACTAGAAATGCTGCTAGACATGGCAGCTGGCTAGATTTCCATGGAGTTTATTTGGAGTAAGATGAGTTAGATTTATTGTACATGCTCTCTGGAGGGGAAATGTGTTTTAGGTTTGTTTCATGTTGTGGTTCAAATGTGTGGGACCCTTTAGATGACAAAACATAGGTGCCTCAGTGGTGGTCACAATCATAAGATTAATTTGGAAAAGCTTCCAGTTACATGCTTAGACTGGGTTTCCTTACCTGGGTATTCCTCTCCCTTTATGGTTCTTTCCTTGGAACTATGGTGAGTTACAGATTCATGTTATTTCCTCCTCTTTTGTGTACTTAATTTATTGGATTTGAATCCTGCCTTTTATTCCCAAATTCAAGATGACCCCAGGCCTGGATTAACAGCTATTGTAGAGGGTGAGAGGAATGGCTTTGAGAGACGGGAGAAAGAGCCAATGCCAAGGCAATGGTCAGATAAAAGAAAGCTGCATCTGACTCAGAACTGTAATGTATGTAAATGTCTTAGACAATTCTAATTCACACGGAGGAAGGGGAGAGGTACATTGTAGAGTATTGTCACTGTAGCAATGGCATTTAGACTTATATACCGCTTCACAGTGCTTTTATAGCCCTCTCTAAGTGATTTACAGAGTCAGCATATTGCCTGCAACAGTCTGGGTCCTCATTTTACCCACCTCAGAAGGATGGAAGACTGAGAGAGTGCTGAGCCAGGGGGAAGGAGTTAAATGGGGTATTAGTCTGGAATCCCTACATCAGGGGTTTCAAACTGATGGCCCATGGGCCGGATGGATCATATGCAAGCCACGCCATCCTGGCTCCACAAAAGCAAAAAAATGTCATGATATGTCATGTGATGTCACATGATGCAATTGAGTTTGACACCCGTACCTATATGGTCACATGAGGGTGAAGTCTGCCCCACTCCTTGCACGTTGTTGACCCTTATTTAGTCTTACTCCTGGTGCAAACTGTCAGTGTGAGAAGATTCCTGTGTATAGGCTTGAGCAATAAAAGCTAATTGAACCAATGGTAAAATCCAATTTTTTTTAATACCGGTTCTGTGGGCTTGGCTTGGTGGGCATGGCAGGGGAAGGATACTGCAAAATCTCCATTCCCACCCCACTCCAGGAGAAGGATACTGCAAAATCCCCATTCCCTCCCCAGTCCTGGTGGAAGGATATTGCAAAATCTCCAGTCCCATCCCACTCCAGGGGAAGGATACTGCAAAATCCCCATTCCCTCCCCAGTCCTGGTGGAAGGATACTGCAAAATCTCCATTCCCACCCCACTCCAGGGGAAGGATACTGCAAAATCCCCATTCCCTCCCCAGTCCTGGTGGAAGGATATTGGAAAATCTCCAGTCCCATCCCACTCTGGGGCCAGCCAGAGGTGGTATTTGCCAGTTCTCTGAACTACTCAAAATTTCTGCTACCGGTTCTCCAAAACCTGTCAGAACGTGCTGGATTTCACCCCTGAGTTGAACACTTCATACACTTCATCTACAGGTCTGGGAGGTTTTGTCTGACAATAACTTTTATAAAGAAACTGATATTGTGACTTCAAGCTAGTTTGGACTACCTTGAAAGGCTGAAACTATTAAGCAAAATAAGCTTCAGGCACCAAAGAAAGAGGGCATCACAGAACCCCCCCTCCCCAACAGCTATCATGCCCTTACATCATTCTTTGCCACATTCCACCTTAGTTGGATTTTTTTGTAATTGTCCTGTTTGACTTTAATCTGCATTGTTAGAAAAATAGTAGGGTTTTTTTTTGGCATATTGATTAAAGTTTAAAAATTTGGTTTCAAGATGTCATTTGATACCAGATTTGTTTTCATCTCATGTGAAAATTTTACTTCCATTGAGAGGTATTATCAATAGGCTGTGCTTGGGGCAATGAGAAAATGTGGTTTTTTTTCCACAAGCTTTGAAAACAAGGATCCCTGGGTTGCAGTAGCAGTAGCAGTAGCAGTAGCAATAGCAATAGCACTTAGGCCTATATACTACTACTCCACAGTGATTTACAGCACTCTCTGAGCAGTTTACAATGTCAGCACATTTCCCCCAACAATCTGGGTCTTCATTTTATTGACCTTGGAAGGTGGAAAGGCTAAGTCAAACCTGAGCTGGTCAGGATCGAACACTTGGCTGTGGGTCATTCAGTGCACTCTTTCAAGTTCATGTGAAAAATATGGACACTGAATTCTTTTAAAAATAAATTTACACATATTTGATTTTATATATTTGTATCTAAAATAACACTTATTTTAAAAGATATGCTCTTGAGTTTTCCTTTGTAAAACAAAGTTATAAACATAGACAAAAAATTATTATCCATATGAAGCTCTTTTACATGTGCCCCTTTTCCTGGCTTGCCCTTTAATTTTTTTCAAGAAAATATGGTCACTGTAGTTATTTTGTAACTTTTTGAGAATCAATTTTTTTAGAATCAGACACATTCAATGCCAGTCATTTCTTCATTTCACTTGTTATAAATGTGTAACTTTTGTTTTAGTTTGGGATTTTGACACTGTCTTTTTTCCAATGGATACCTCCCCCCCTTTCCATAAACTTTTTAAAAAAAAACTTCAGTTCTTAAAGCTGGTGAACCTTGACTGAAAACTTGCTTTGTGATTTCAGTAGATCTTTCTATTCCATTATATGTTTATGTTTGGGATGCTGATGCAGGAACTTTGGTTCCAAAGGATACCTGGCAAGAGGCAGGTTATAACTGGGCATACTGGCTACTCCACTTCACTTTGAACAGGATGGTCCTGACTCACCAGCAGAATGCAGATGTGACTGTGCACCTGGCTGGACTCCAAGCCATTATCTCCCAAGCAGGTATAACATTGGGGATGATAGGGACCAAAGTACATGTCTCAAAATACATGATTTATAGTCTCAATACCTGGGTGCCTTGAGATGAATTTATGAAAGCATGAGATGTTTAATCCTCCCTTCCTGCATAGAGTTGCTTGACAGTGAGATGGGAGGCATATAAATTTAATTAATTAACTAAATGTCCCAGCCCATAATTCCAATGGGAAACAAACCCCCAAAATTAAAATAAAACCAATTGAAGAAAGCACATCCATTTAACTAGACCCAAATATCTCTCCATCCACCCAGCTCCTTTTTTTCCATTGAACAAATGATTTTTTTAACATTTAAAAGTTTATTTAGTAATAGTGCAGTATATATAAAGATACAAATATTGATATTCATTTTCTTATTTTAAGAAGTACATGAACAATACTTTGTGCTTGTTTTTGTTTTTTAGTCTTTTTATACTTATTTTATTTTAAATACATATATTTCCAGAAAATTGTAAGTAGAAATGAACTGATAATTAATGAGCCTATAAAATTATTATTCGATAGAACCTTAGTAAAAGATACCATACAGAGAGTATTAAATTGTTTTTATCATAAAAAAGTATAATATTTGAACTTAATGCCAAATTCTCTAGTATATTGTTGCTTATAAGTCAGCAAGAAAGTAGATTTTGTCTTTTCTCTGATCAGAGGACAATTTAGCCATCTCAGCATTTCCATCACCTCTGTCAACCAAACTGTGGGTAGTGCTGAATCCTTCCATCCTTATGTGTGCAGGTAATCCTCAATTTATGACTGATTTTCCAACAACCATTTGCAGTTCTGATAGAACTTAGAACAGGTGTTTTATGGCCCATAAAGCACTTCCAACCACCATAAAACATCTTGGCAGATTCCACAGTCACATGACTTCATGTGGCAACCTGTTTACATTTACGATTGGTTGCCAAGTGCCCTGCAATCATGTGATTACCATTTATAATCTCTACTGGCTTCTCCAGAAAATCAATGGGGAAATAGGCAAGGAATGTTATGAGTGGAGAGGATGTTGGATTTGAGATCCGTTATCTCAGCAGGCTGAGGGATTTCCCCTCACCTCCACGGTGCAATGGGAAATCCATCCACGTGTTGGTGGAACAGACCTCAAATCTGGAGAAAAGCTAATGAACACTAGCATTCTGGGTTTTTTTTCAGAACACTGATATTTGTTAGTGTTTTAATGAACACCATGTTTCTGCTAATCTGGAGAGGAAAACATCAGCAAAAGTCAAAGTTCTGGACCTTTTATAATGCTGACATTTGCTAGCATATTAGTGAACCCTGTCTACCCTCTTCTGGAGAAGAAAATGCTGGCAAATGCCAGTGTTCTGTGCCTTCTGGAAAAATGTTGTTCACCAGTATTTTTGCCTGATTTGAGATCCATTCCTCCAGGGCGCCAAGGGATTTCCTTTCCAGAAATCTGTCAGTGATGTTAACCAGCCTTAACATCAGCAAATTCCATTGCTCTCATGATTGTTCTTTCTGGTAGGGTTAGGGTAAAATGGCAATGTGGCATCTCACTTAATGGCCACTTCACTCAACAACTGAGATTCGAGGCCAATCGTAGTTTTAAATGGTAGGCTACCTGTACAATAATCTTGTTGCAGTTATCTTATATGAAAATAAAGTTCCAGGAATTTTTTTTTTCAACTGTTTATCAATCCCAAAAGAAAAACCATGATCTTAATTGTATATTAATCTTTAAACTTTTCTGAAGATATTACATACAATAAAATGCTGAACTGAAAAGGGGACGGTGCAAACTATTTTGACATTTAAGAAAAAAGAAAGAATTACTAGGAAAGTATTTCAAGTCAGATTAAACTTTTAGAAGGTCAGTTATCTATGTCAGCAGTAAAAGGAATAGAAACCAAGAACTATACCAAGCAAAAGAATTTTGAATTTGTGAGTAAACCAGAAAGCATATAAATTAAGAAAAGACCAAAAAAATAATTTTGAAATTTCAATAAGGAGATACTTTATGAATGGGCAATGGTTCGCCTATGTACAATTACTAGAAAGATTTCTTGGAGAGAAGCCTAATAGAACAATGTTGCTCAGTCTTCACTCTACTCACAGAGTACAACAGCTAGGAGTGCTGACATCAACATCAACTGACTGCTGCAGTTGTTGCTGTTCTTTGATCAGCCTCATTCTTAGCTTTGTGTCTCCTGAGGCTGACATTCCACAGTTCTGCTAGGACTTCTTCCTCAAGGAAGTTGAGTTGTCTTGAATCCTAGACCATAACAGGAACACATTTAGTACAGTAGTAGGTTTTAAATTTTTTTACTATCAGTACTGTGGGTGTGGCTTGGTGGGCATGGCATGGCTTGGTGGGCATGCCTTGGTGGATGTGGCAGGGGAAGAATACTGTAAAATCTCTATTCCCTCCCCACTCCAGGGGAAGATTACTACAAAATCCCCATTTCCTCCCAATCAGCTGGGACTCGGGAGGCAGAGAATAGATGGGGGTGGGGCCAGTCAGAGGTGGTATTTACCGGTTCTCTGAACTACTGAAAATTTCCACTACCGGTTCTCCAGAACTGGTCAGAACCCACTGAAACCCACCTCTGATTTAGTATTTTAATAATAATAATAATAATAATAATAATAATAATAATAATAATAACAACAACAACAACAACAACAACAACAACAACAACAACAACAAAAAATAAATAAGCAAGAAACAAAAACTAACAAAATCTGGCAACTGAATTAATATTAAAAATTACCAAATACTATGTAGATATTGAGAGAAGTTTTGAAGTTTTTGTCAAATCAAATCTTATTTAATTTCCAATTTTTATTTCAGCCATACTGTCTTCTGTCTTGGTGGTCTTGTGGGAGGTGAATTACTGTTGTGGCAACACTCTCCCAATGCAACAGCTTTTCCTGGGTATCTAAGAACAAACAGTGAATAAAATACTATTAACTTATACATTATTTTTTAACAATAATAATAAGGATTATTATTATTTGTAATAAAATAGTAGATCTTAAACTAAATGCTCCATTTCTATTCCACCTTTCCTTTATATCCACCATGAGAAAAAATAAATTAATATTTTAGGACAAAGTACTCACTCCCACCGTCTGGGTCATCTGTGTTCTGCACCATGACACAGGAGCACATCTAATATTTAAATAATAATTTAATATCTTAAAATAATCAAGGGACAAAAAATTAAGAAAACCTGGCAATCAAATTAATTTAAACGATTACCAGATATTAGAGAGGTGAGGATGGAAGTATATCTGACATTCTTCTGAAACTGATACTCATGTCATTTAGAATATTTATGCTTGTGTTCCAGTTATCTGGCAGGTTATAGGGGAGGGCTGCGGCCTCCAAGTCTTCCATGCGGGTGGTTTTGTCAGAAGTGTCTGGCTGCCCTGGTGCCACACTATTCTGGCAGTACCTTCTGCTGGGGATTCAAAAACAAAAAGAAAGTAAAATATAACTAGTGCATATATTATTTTCTTAACACTAATAATAAGAGTTATTATTATTTGTAATAAATAGTGGACCTAGAGTTTTCATTGCCCCAGGGCTTCTGATTCTTGGTGATACTATTCCCTTAGAAATTAGCAGGACCATTTTGACTCAGACAGAAGCCCCCTTGAGAAAGATGCTAACTTGAAGAATGTATTCGTCCACAAAATGAATCTTTTCCACAATGAAGAACTTACCAGCACTGGCGCAAACCAATAAAAGTGCCAATGGAGACATAGAGTCCTATGATAAGCAAGGTGACCATCCATGGCCTCGAAAGAAAGTTAATGTTCTCAGTGGTTCTTGTTGGTCTTATGAGCTCAGTTTCATCCATTTCTGAAATGGAAAAAGGGTGGGGGAAGTAAGGAAAAATGTAAATCACTCTAACAGAAATGATTTGATCATACTTGCAGCTATTAGTTGTTGGTCATCATACTTTGAACATTTTTCCCTTGGAGCAGTACAGAAACAAGTGGCTCTAATTTTGCTTTTGCTCCATTTCTACCCCATCTTTCCTTTACATTTTCTTTACAAGTAGCCCTAGAGATATGACTGCCCATTACGGTCAATGTCAAAATGGCCGTTAAGTGAAGTGTCTCACCTAATAACCGCCCTCATCCCTGCTCTCCCCAATGCAATCACTAAATGATCATGCAGGTTATTAAGTGAAGCACCGGGTGCCTCAAAGGTGGCGGAAGCCTTGGAGGCCTAGTGCAGGTTCATAGTACCCAGTGATCTGCTCCCTGTTTCTTGAGGTTCCTCAGGCCTCGTCCTGATCCCAAGTCAGTTATTCAGTCAGGCAAAGCAACCTAAAGCCAGTCAGCAGAAGCAACCAGTACCCAGAGGGCAGTTACAGCTGTAGGCCTCAGGCCTACTTCCCATGTATATATATTTATTATGTTTTATCAATAGGAATAAAATACAAGACAAGAAAACAAAACAGAAATAGACATATATCCAACAGTAACAACAAAAACAATGAAAAAGAAAAGAAAGAAAAAAAATATGTATGTGAAAAAGGGAAAAAAATGACCCAAACATGCAACATTAAACATATAAAAAAATCCACCCTGGCTGGATTCTGAAAAGAAAAATAATTGTTAAAAAAATCTGATAAATTCTCCTCCCCTTATGGATCTGTAAATAGTTATAAACTCAGGGCCTGCCAAGGCCTCCCACTGTCCTTCATGTTTCCCCAGGCTTCATCCTGCTCAGTCACACATGGGAGCTTAAAGAACCAACTGGCACATCAGTTGCAGTCTGTGGGTCTCGGCCTACTTCTCATCCCAACCCAACCCAAGGAGACTCCACAAACGCCACAAACAGAGCCTCCCTAGAACAAGAGACCCTCCTACAGTCTTGCAAGAAGTACTGCTTGCTAGAAGAACAGCAGGAGTTGCCATGAGGCGGGAGGCCTCTGTAAAGAAAACTGAGCCACTTATTGCACCGCATCAGATGGGTGTTTCTGCAAAAGGTAAGTTGAGTCGGGTGTTTGCTGTTGGGCCCTGGCATTGACTGAGCAGCAGGCCGAGGCCTAAAAGCGCCTTGGGTGGCTGGATGGGAAGTAGGCCTCGGCCTACAGGCTGTAATTGTCCTCCATGTTGCGGTAGCTTCTTTAGACTCCCTTGCGTGGCTGAATGGCCGAGGCCTGATGGGACCCAGCAGGATAAGGTGGGGAGGGGGGAATACTGCAGTGTCCCTGAAGTTGGTCATAATGGTGAACAATGGCAGGGGAACTGCAGCAGCTGTTATTTTGAATTCAGGTCCTAAGTACCTTTATTGTGGGTTAAATGGTTGTTAAACAACCGATCATAAATGTCCTCTTATCCATGATCGGTCATTTAACCATCAGTCAAAATGTGTATCCTGTGTATCCACCCAACAAGAAGAAAGAAAAAAAAAATGTTATATCACAGCTAGGGAAAGCCCCGTGACCTAAAATAGAACATAACCCTTGCTTAATTATACAATATATCCTGTAACTTAAATAGATTTCAATACTTCTTCCTTCACCCTATTCCCAGTTTTCCTTTTGACTACTCCTTGAGCCACTCTGTTTTTATACCCTCCAAGGCCAACCAGGTAAAAACTCAAAGCAAGAAAACAAAACCAAGAGAAGAAACCAAGTCCTGGTCACCTAAAAATATCTCTCTTAAGTGAGCTATCTCTCTCTCCCTGTCTTCACACAAAGCTCCTATCTTTCTCTCCACAAGGTTCCTATCTCCACCTCAATAAAGACTTGATCCACTCAAGCTTTTATACCCTCCAAGGCTCCGCCCACAAATACTTCAAAGGAAAAGATACCAACTGAAGAAACTGTATCCAGGTAACCTAAAGAGGTCATAATACCTCTCTTTCTACACAACCTTTGCCCACTCCCTCCCTTGGATTCCCCTTCCCCCTTTCAACTCAGAAGGGAATGCTAACCTTTTAGTGGTATTTAGTCAGTGTGGATTCCATGGGATCTACCTGAAGTGCCAGGAAAGCCACACAGATTTATGCTCAGGTGATCCAAAAGAGGCTTTTTCATAAGGCAAATGGAGTTTATGTTGTTTTTTCTTTGAAAATGTTTCGCATCTCATCCAAGAAGCTTCTTCAGTTAACTGAAGGAGCTTCTTATCTGGGTCATGATGTGGAAATATGAATATGAATCATAGCAATCTAAGGTTTTGGGTGATTTTCTTAGAAGTTAACCATCCAAACCTTGCTTAAATCCCGAATGCCCATGGACTCTGCCATCAAAATAATATTCTTCATTCGAGGCATAAAATTAATTGATCCAAAGCATGTTTAACAAGTTCATGTGCTATTTTCAAAAAGAACATCATGTATATCTTATACATAATTACACATAATTGTGTACATTCTTACACATAATTACTTTTCCTTGTTCAGCTACAAAATGGAATACTAATCCAACATCCCCATTTTGGGTCATACTCAGTGCGCAAACTATTTCACAAAGGTTTCAAGTCACTTGCTCAAGTTTATGCTTGCTGAATGATTATGCATGATGCAGTCTTGCTCCTGTAATTGGCTATGTCTTCTATTTTCTATTTTTTGCCTTATTAATTAAACAACTTACTGTATTTTCGGAGCATAAGACGCACCAGAGTATAAGATGGTCCTTGGTTTTTAGAGAGGAAAATAAGAAAAAAGCTGATTGGCAGGTAGATCGGCCTCACGGAATACCCCAATCAGCTGTTCCCAGAGGTGAATTTTAGCAACAGGTTCGTTCCTTGGTTGTGAGCTCCATGCCTTGCTTTTTTTTTTTTTTTTGCTTTTTTTTCCCTGCCTCTGAAACATCTGAAACTCTGTTTCAGAAAAATCTTCTTTTCCTGTCTCTGAAAGCCTCCAAAACAGAGCTTCAGAAAAAAAGCCTCTGAAGTTCTGTTTGGGGGCTTCTTTTCTGAAGCTTCATTTCTGATGCTTTTTTCAGCCTCTGAAACCTCCGCTTGAGAAGCTGGGCGGGGCTACATTTAGAATATAAGACACACCCAGATTTTCACCCTCTTTTTGGGGGGAAAAAGGTGCGTCTTATACTCCGAAAAATATGGTAAATTTTCAAATAATTCTAGAATGAGTGGAAAAATACTTCGTTTTCTAGGAACCTAAAATTCTATTGAAATGGCTAAGAATTTGAGATATTTCCCATATCTCAATTCACTCCACTCTCTTGAACCTCCTTATTTAATCCTGTTCACTCACTTCCAAAACAGTTCTTTATTTTCATCCATATTCCTCATATCTCAAAACCTATTTCTCTCCACTCTACCTGGCTGCCTACCTCTTCAAATAATATTAAACAAGAGGAAATCAAGAAAAGAAAAGAAGCTACATCTATGGAACCTAAAATAAGTGTGCCACCTCTACCTCTATTCTGTTTCTATTTGCATTATTTCTAAATCCTCTTTCTTTCTTCAACCTCCAATGTCTAGGGTCACCTGTCTCAACTGCCACCTGCTCATCTGGAAGTTGAGTCAATGCAAGTGAACTTCTTTTTTTGTTGGATTGAAACATTTCACTGTTTATCCAAGTAGCTTTTTCAGTTTGAGCAAGTTGGTTAGCAGGACCCCATATAAGTCATCCTATCAGCAAATATAATTTCCATTTACAAGCCTAAATCAAACAACATGTATCTATATAACACCTGAAAGTCAAATAACAGTCAAAAGTCTCCTCAATAAGTATTATTAGCGATGCCAAAACAGAATTAGCTTTGGCTAATTTGTTAACTATGAGGAAAATAATACTTCTTTCTTCTCAATGTCCATAGGAGTTGATTTAAAATGACATCAAAGAAACGCATTAATCCTTTGACTCTTTTGGATAGGAATTGAGGGGGAGGGAGACACATGGGCAACAGGCTAGATTTATTTGTTATTCATTTAAGAATCTGTAGTGAATCCACATGGTATTTGGGAACAGCCTAATGTTAACTGCACATAACTCCAGCAAAAAGTTATACTACCCACACAGTGTATTAAAGGGGAAGAAAGTGCTTCATCAAAATTAGCTGGTAAAGAGTAAATCATGAAGCGATTTTGAAATATAGACTGAAAATCATTGTTGAAGAATTTATTCAGAGGACAATGTGGATTTTTAACCTCTTTTTTTCAGATTTCTCTTTTATTTTTGAAAAATGTACTCACTGTGATTAGAGGAATCTTCCTTGTGATTGTATAATAGGAACTGAATGTTAATCATGCTTCCTTGTGTTTTGGGACTTCAGTCATAGGTTGTTTAAGAGATGCATTCTGAGTTTATTATTCACTCTAAATTCTGAATTAAGAATGGGCTGCTTGGAGAAATTGCACTATTAATTCAGATAATGGACTTAGTAGACTGATTTTAACCCTCATCCTCAATATGGAGATTACGACAATGGTACAAACAGTATTGTGGTTAAACTATCTGTCTGTTCCAAAGGCAGTAGTGGACATCAGGTTAAAAGCAGGGGTGAAATCCAGCAGGTTCTGACAGGTTCTGGAGAACTGGCAGCAGAAATTTTGAGTAGTTCGGAGAACCAGCAAATACCACCTGTGGCTGGCCCTAGAGTGGGATGGGAATGGAGATTTTGCAATATCCTTCCCCCAGGAGTGGGGAGGAAATGGGGATTTTGCAATATCCTTCCCATGGAGTGGGGTGGGAATGGAGATTTTGCAATAGCCTTCCCCTGCCACACCCACCAAACCACACCATGCCCACCAAGCCACACCCACAGAACTGGTAGTAAAAAAAATTGGATTTCACCACTGGTTAAAAGGTTTATTGAAGAGATTAGGACATAGCCTCTCTCACTGTACAGGAATCCTGACTTCTATATATTGTATGTAAGTATCTATGTCACTGTCTCTGTCTCTCTCTGTCTCTCTGTCTGTCTGTCTGTCTCTCTCTCTATTGTTTATTTCTCAGCCTTGAAGGTTTCTATCATATTGCTTCAACACCCTTACACCATAACACAGGCCTTAGTATTATCATTGATGGTGAAATTTCTAGCAGCTTGTATTTATTTTGAGTTTTAGGTAGACAAGATTCTAGGAAGATTAATGAAAGCTCACACCCAAGCTAGAAATTTTAGTTAGAAATTGCTTGATCTTGGCTTTATTTTAATTTTGCCTATAGAAATATTTCCACAATTCTCAAGTATATTTCTCGTTATGTCATTGTTTCTGCATTTCAATAGAATTTGTGTTCTATTTATCCTGAGTGCACAGCAGACTAATGCTACTGTTAAAAGGTAGTATTTAGCTTCCAGCTGCCTGCAATTACTGTGAGTTCAATTCTCACCAGGGTCAAGGTTGACTCAGCCTTCCATCCTTTCTAAGGTAGGTAAAATGAGGACCTGGTTTGTGGGGGCAATAAGCTGACTTTGTATAAAATATACAAAAGTATGAAGGCTATTGCTTAACGCCTTGTAAGCCGCACTGAGTCTCCGGAGAAGGGCGGCATATAAATAATAATTTTAAAAAATCATATATTTTTATTAGAACACACAGATACATGTCTGTAGTCATGCATGTGATCTTGATCAATAGAGTAGATAGAATAAATTTCTCATTTAGAACCAGGCAGGACCATTTATTTTTATAAGTTGATACTTTGCTAATTGGAGTTATACCCACTAGTCCACTTATTTATTGCCAGTATAAACCTGCCAAACACATTTGTCCTCTAATAGTGTAACAGGAAATTCTTCTACTGTATATCTTGTTACAGGAACATAATTGCTTCCTTCTCATCATAAAACTTCATTAATAATCTGCAGCGTGCTTTTTAGACTTCAAAACACAAACCTTTAGGATAAACTTCCAATATATTAAAAAAAAAAAGAGTGATATTTGGAAGAGTACATTGAATAAATGAAGTCAAACCTAACTGGAAGTACAAAGGATTATATTATAATCTCTGTCCTCAGTTTGTGACTATAGACATTTAGTACAATACAGTATAATTGGTTATTATGATTAGTGTTTAATTATGTATGCCTATGAGCTTATATCCTTATTTGATTACTTTGCACTGCCTGTACATATTATAGTTCTTGCAAATTACTTTGAATTAATTTTTCCAGAGGCTTCAGGAAAACAAGCAGGCGTGTTGAACCACATGTTTTTTGTTTGATCAACAGAAATCAGTCATCACAGTGATATGTAATGATAAATGGAAAAAACAGCACCATAGGCTGGACAGTTTTAATATTCCTGTATTGGGAATATAAATGTGCTCAGTAGTGTTGCAAACAATGAACATTTAAAAAGAAACATTTAACTTTTTTTGATATAAATGATTTTCTGAAAAAAATGTTATGGGAAGCAAAACATGTATCTTATTGGGCAGCTTAGTTGCTCCCCCAAAATCTGGTTGTTTCAGCTTGGCAGAAGTGATGAATATAATGCACAAACATTTTGTACCACAATTACTGAGCACAGAGCTTTTCAGCTTTCATAAATGCAGACAGAGGAAGAGCAACGTATGCAGCTTGTCTTAAAAAGGGGAGCGAGTGTTAGAACATTAGCCCTGCACATTGGTAAAAGGCTAAATGTTTTATTGAAAGACTGCCTAGTGTGTACAGAATTCTGAAATAATCATTTTTTCTTTAAAATATATTTAAAACAGGTGAATTTAATATTTAAAAGTTGGGTATAGGCATGGAAAATGCTGCTTGATCTACTGTAGAACTGTAGTCAGAGAAGAAGGCAAATGTGAATAAGCATACAGCGACATACAGAGTTGCAGAGATACTTGTGATCCAGTGTTGAAATTGGATGCACCCCGTAACATGATTGCATTTTGGGCACTTGGCAACTGGCCCACATTTATGGC